TAATGATACCTGGAAATTCAATAATTTCTAACGCGCCAAAGTCTTTATATGGACCCAAAAGAGTTGATTTTAGCGTCCTTAATTTAATACGAAAGCAGCTAAATCCCTACCACAATGACCAACTTAGCAATCGAGAAGATAAGTTGAAAATGACAAGAATGCCATTTTCAAAAACAGAGGAAAATAATTGGTGATTCAAAAACAGAGGGCCGAAAGTGAAATCCAAGAATGCCATTTTCAAAAAAAGTTGAAAATGACAAGAAATCCAAGAATGTCATTTTCAACTTAGCAATCCAGAAGATATGTTGAAAATGACAAGAATGCCATTTTCAAAAAAAGAGAAGTAACATGGAAAATAATTGGTGATTCAAAAATAGAGGGCCGAAAATGAAATCCAAGCATCCAGACCATCAAACTGGGACTTTGAAGCAGCCAACGGTGTTGGATACTTCAGCATCTTTTCAGTCCTTTGTTTTCCAAGGCATTTACTCAAAGATAAAACGAGAACAAGTCCCCTTTGCAATTAGATGGAACATCTAAAATAGATATTTAGAAAAAAAAAAAAAAACAACCGTTGAGATACTTAGAATAAGTGTTATAATATGTCAATGAACCCTGATATTCAGTCCATCTTGAGCATCCATGCTCTTATGAGAGATCCAAGTGGCACCATTTGTATCCAAGTGGATTACATGCGTTGTCACTGTGACTCGATATAATTTGAGATTTTAAATAAAAAATAAATTTATGTCTCTAACAGTAATTTTATTTGTTGTTAGAAGTACCAAAAAAAAAAAATTTGCTACCATAGCAATATGTATGGCAGTAATTGTATCAACTCCCACATATGAAAAATATATGGCATCAAATATAAATGTTGCAAAAAATGACACTTTTTATTTTTTATTTTTTTTATGAAGATTATAACAATATATTTAAATGAAACAAATTTAACAAAAATTCAAGTTCTTAACTATAATCAAGGTCAATCCATTCATAAACCAAATTTACTAACCAAATAAACTCAATTCACAACAAATTCAAGAAGAAGAAAAAAAATTACAATGCATTTATTAGTGTAGCTGTGTCTCAATATATAACAAGGGAAATAAAATAATTTTTAATGTCTTGTCAAATTGTTAAAAAAAAAAAAAAAAAAGACTCCATATCTATCCTCTAAAAATCACCATTCCCTACTAGCAACCTGAAATAAAATATATAACGTATTAAAAACTAATAACTAGTATTTGAATGAATATAAACAACAATTCTGCATCAAATAAGTCTCAAATAAAAGAATAGAAGAACCAAGCAATCCGAACTCAAAAGCAACAGAATGAGCCAATAGGTGTCTCAAGCACTGCACAACAAATTCTGAGATACAATAGTTATGTACAGTAATTAAAAAAAAAAAACAAATGCTGCAAGTATCTAAGACCATCATCCATGCTTGCATATGTCCAACCCATGACATCACCATCTTCTCACACCCATTTCTACTTCTTAACCCTAACTTCATCTCTACCATAATTAAGCTCAGTAACTCTGGTCACACCAGAAAGACATGATGCCACCCACGGAATGTCCACCAAGAACCACCCTTCCATCCCCTTAAAGCATCCCTTCCCCTTGCACACATCTATCACCACAAACACTTCTTTAAACCCTTCCAAAACCACATTAATTCTATGTGATCGAACTTCAGGTCATCCTCCAACGCATCAAACACTACTGTACGATCTTATACAAAAATTACAATATTTAGATTTTAGCCAAAATAGTTGCAGTTCCTAAAAATATTTAGCCTTTAATCAATCATTTTATCCACAAATTGCTTTTAGAATAAATTAATTCTTTAGCCCCACTATTAAATCTTACTATTGAATTTTTTTTTCTTTAATTATTAAAGCACGTGTATCGCCCCACAATACATGCACCATTCAAGTCAGGAGTGCAATTCAAAAGCGAGGCCTCAAGAATTTACCCACCGAATATTGCGCAAATCTTACTATTGATTGGGGTTTAATATATAAGGAAATAAATTTTTTAATAATATAAGAAAATAGAACTTTTAGCTAGGAGCATTCCATTGGGTAGGACTTTTTCCTCCTAAATAACCAAGACTCTAATTTAACTGATGAGTTGTAGGACCTCAACAAATAAACGATACGAATCTTATGGGACAATTCATGTTGAACTTTTCTTGCATATTTTCAAAAAAAATAGCCACATATATAAACAAGACTGATTTGAGTTAACCAAAAGGTTTGTTAAGAAGTAAAAATTAGTGTGTAATAGGAGTTCTCTCTGTGATAACCAAGATTTTTTTTAAGATTTTAATTTATAATTATTTTTGAATTCAGTTCAGTGGAGGTGTAGTAGTAGTTATTTTTTTTTATAGTTTATATATATATGTGTGTGTGTGTGCCCAGTAGAAAGTGGAGGGAGCAAAGAATGAAATGGAAATGTTACTTTTAATGGGTTTTGTTTAGTTTTGTCACACGGAGAATGCTGGTTTGTCACATGGAGAATGGTGGCAGCAATCTACCAAATTTGGTGGAAAAAAGGAGGAGGAAAAGTGGTGGAGGGTCCCATTTGGTCCAGTTACCTTATATATAGGGATTTTTACATATAAATGGAGTTAAGGAGGTATATTTACTCATCGATGAAGTCAAAGTCTTATATTTTCACAAAAATGAGTTTGACCTAAATGATGACATGGCACATGAAGTTTTACTGTTTAAAATTTTTGTTGCCTAAAATGCCCTTCTTCCTATTCCAATGCATTTACCTTATTGCCCTTGTTTAGAAAATATGGTACCTGGAGGCCAAAAAGTAGTACCTTCAATTCAAAAATGTGGTACCGTTAGAACAAAAGTGGTACCTTCGTAAAAGGGACTTATTTTTGCAATTGAAAATGGCATTAAATCCCACACCGCTAATTAAGTTGCACATTACATCCATAAACAGCTCCATTAGCACCATGAATAACACAAAATATTCTCCAAGCTAGCTAAGCGAGTATTTAGAAAACATAGTACCTGGAGGACAAAAAGTGGTAACTTCAGTTCAAAACGTGGTACCTTTAAAACAAAAGTGGTATCTTCGTAAAAGGAACTTATTTTTGCAATTGAAAATGATATTAAACCCCACACCGCTAATTAAGTTGTACATTAGATCCATAAACAGCTTCATTAGCGCCATAAATAACACAAATATTTCTTAATTATCATATACTACATCTACATAGTTGGTATGGTAGATTTTTTTTTTTCGCACCATTTTAATCGGTAAGGCTGTTTGGGACTTTTGAATAACTATTTCAATAACGCAATTGTTAAAAAAATTATGGTATCCAAAGATCATGTTTGATATGGATCTGGGTCATAATTAAATCTTTAGAATTTTTCAATGATAATAGGGAGATAATTTGGTCTCTAGACCTCTTATACATGAAGACCATTTAGAATTTTGATATAGATCTGGGTCCTAATTAATTGTAGGATGCTACTTATATATATATATATATATATATATATATATATATATATTAATTGTATGATAAGAATAGAATAATTATCATGAATTCAAACATACATCTTATACGTTATAACTTAAAGAAATTAATGTGTTATTGAGATTCTAGAATACCCCAGTCTAGAATTATATTTTTCTTTGCATACAATTATAATTATACTGATGTGTTATTGAAATTTTGGAATGCCCCAGTTTAGAAATTCTGGAATGCCTCATCTTATGCATTTAATTATATTTTTTCATTTTGTTTAAGAATTTGAAAATTTGTCCACGTTTTCAGTTCCTCTCCTTCACTTTTTCCGTTTCGCTTACTTCTTTAAGGTTGGTTAATTTTTTCGTTAATGTGATACAATTAAATGCAGTAACCTTTTTTTTTTTTTTTTTTTTTTTTTTTTTTTTTTGACAGTGTGATTGGAGTATCGATTCTTGCCATCAAGACTTTATATGGATGAGTGGGGGCTAATATTGCAATCAAGACTTTGTATGGACGAGTAGGGGCTAATAAATGTTCAAACTTAATAATTGTGTTCTTATTTTGCAAAAGATGATTGCTTTCTTTAAATTTAGTGATTTAGTTTTTTATTTTTTGTTGACTTTATTAGATTGGATGGATCATAACTTTTTTGACATTCGTGGTGACTTAAAGTATTTTGTAGACATGGTACTTCACTTGATGGTTTTGATTTAATGAAAAGTAATGGATTTTGGTTGTTCTATTTAATAAATACATGCATGTTAGGCTCTTATATTTAATAAGAAGGTTTATAAATTTTTCAACAGCAGTTTATGGATCTAATGTGCAATTTAATTAACGGTGTGGGGTTTAATACCATTTTCAATTACAAAAATAAGTTTCTTTTACGAAGGTACCACTTTTGTTCTAAAGGTACCACGTTTTTGAATTGAAGATACCACTTTTTGGCCTTCAGGTACCATATTTTCTAAACACTCGTTTAGCTAGCTTGAAGAATAATTTGTGTTATTCATGGCACTAATGGAGCTATTTATGGATGTAATGTGCAACTTAATTAGCGGTGTGGGGTTCAATATCATTTTCAATTGCAAAAACAATTCCCTTTTACGAAGGTACCACTTTTGTTCTAAAGGTACCACATTTTTGAACTGAATGTACTACTTTTTGGCCTCCAGGTACCATGTTTTCTGAACAAGGGTGATAAGGTAAATGCATTGGAATAAGGAGAAGGGCATTTTAGGTAACAAAAATTTTAAACAGTAAAACTTCATGTGCCATGTCATCATTTAGGTCAAACTCATTTTTATGAAAATATAAGACTTTAATTCCATCCATGAGTAAATATGGCTCCATAACTCCATTTATATGTAAAAATCCCTTATATATATATATATATAGTTGATATATATATATATATATATATATATATATATATATGTCTTTATTTTTTATTGGAAAAGGGTGAGATAAGGATGGGTTAGGTGGCGGAAATAACAGAGAAAGGAAAAGGAGGAGCGGGTGGCCAAAAGTGGGAGGAGAGAGAGAAATGTGATGATGGTAGTAAGTATTGGTGGGACCCACGAAAAGATTTTTTTTTTGGGGTAAAAAGCTTTTTCACCCTGAATTGTTCACGTGGACTGACTTCTTGTTTGCTAAAGTATAATGATTATGTTTGATATTTTGATTTTGCAAGATGAGCTGTCCTAAATTGTAAGTAGGTGGATTGGCCTATTTAATTGTGTGTGTTGTGTGCACTGCTGCGTAAGAATACAGAGAAGCAAATAAGAAAATTAGAAAAGCCAGAAAGAGTGAGCCGAGAAAAACAGAGAGAGTTTAGGACAGAGGTCCGAGAGTCTGTAGAGGAGGTCTTGGAGTTTGAAGATTTGATGATTCAGTGGAGAATTAATCTTTTTCAGTGTAAGGTTCTCTATACCTTGAATGATATGGGGAGGTTTTGCTTCAATGGTTTTGATTAAATGTTTTAATTAAATGCATATGTATTTTGTTTATATACTCACATGACTATGTATAATTTGTGAAGCTGTTTTATTAAACCTTCATGAAATTCTTATTATGGTTTTTCCTACTGGGACTTTCAATCTCACCACCCTCCAGTTTCAGATATCGAAGATAAACAGGGATTGCTAGATACGGGCTTAGGATGAAGAGTTGGCGTTGCAGAATTTATTTTATTTATTTTGGAGATTTTTTTGTATATTTGAGGAAATTGACTTTGTATAAAAGAGGGTATTTTTTTATGATCCTAGGTGTATTTCGATATATTTAGATTTGTATAAATTGAGAATTTTATTAGAAAATTTGGGTCGTGTCAAAATGGTATCAGAGCTGTACCCAGCCGGAAGTGTGAGTATAGTGATGATGTAGACGGGTGTGAGTGGGCGAGTGTGTAGCATTGGTAAGTTACCACTCGTAGCCGGGTATGTGTGGGTGGATGGCATTCACCGGCAGCTATTGGGATGGTTGGTTAGTGTGGTTGGGCAGGTAGCCCAGATTTGTTATTATTTGTTTTTTTTTTAGTGGGCGGGTGACGCATCAGCTAGCTACTACAATGGTTACGGAGTGTGTGGACGGGTGACTAGTACTGGTAGCTACCACAACGTCCTATATATCACTGTATCTCACATCGCCTGGGATATGGATTTGTGGATTGGTTTTGTGGTTATTAGTGTTTTTGGCTTTACGAAGACTGTTGGATCTGAATTTCGAGGACGAAATTCTTTTTAAGTGGTGGAGATCGTAATAACCCAGATTTTTTTTTTTAATTTTTATTTATAATTATTTTTGAATTCACTTCAGTGGAGGTGTAGTAGTAGTTATTTATATATCTATATATATGTGTGTGTGTGTGTGTAACCAGTAGAAAGTAGAGGGAGCAAAGAATGAAATGGAAATGTTACTTTTAATGGGTTTTGTTTTGTTTTGTCACATGGAGAATGGTGGCAACAATCTACGAAATTTGGTGGAAAAAGGAGGAAAAGTGGTGGAGGGTCCCATTTGGTCTAGTTACATTGGCCTATTTAATTGTGTGTGTTGTGTGCACTGCTACATAAGAATACAGATAAGCAAATAAGAAAATTGAGAGAAACAGAGAGAGTTTAGGACAGAGGTCCGAGAGTCTGCAGAGGAGGTCTTAGAGCTTGAAGATTTGATGATTCAGTGGAGGATTAATCTTTTTCAATGTGGGGTTCTCTATACCTTGAATGGCATGAGGAGGTTTTGCTTCAATGGTTTTAATTAAATGCATATGTATTTTGTTTATATACTTACATGACTATGTATATTTTGTAAAGCTATTTTATTAAATCTCTATGAAATTCTTGTTATGGTTTTTCTTACTGGGACTTTCAGTCTCACCACCCTCCAGTTTCAGGTACCGAAGATGAACGGAGATTGCTAAATGCGGGCTTAGGATGAAGAATCGGCGTTGCAGGATTTATTTTATTTATTTTGGAGATTTTTTTGTATATTTGAGGAAATTAACTTTGTATAAAAGAGGGTATTTTTTTTTTTATGATCTTGGGTATATTTCGATATATTTGGATTTGTATAAATTGAGGATTTTATTAGAAAATTCGGGTAGTGACAGTCTCACTCAAAGAGTTAAAACACCTGGCCTCCAATCCAGTAGAAAAAAAATTATCAACTGTCAATTTCTGGCTAATTTCTCCAGCCCTTGGAGACACGCTGTGTGGTGGTCAAGAATGCCAACAAAAGAGACTTAAGGGTGGAGCTGGCAGAGTCTTTGAAAGGTACACGTAAATAAATGCATGAAATGATGTTATTTTGGAGAACCTACGTTTATATAAAGCTGCCACCTTATCACCTTTATTTTGCACTGAATCTCCTATTTCTAAACAGCAAAGAATCAAAGAAGAGCAATGGAACTGTCTTTTCTTTTGTTTGCTTGTTTAGCTTTTGCACTGCTGGTTCGCGCACAAGATTCATCAGGTATAGACCTCTCTCTCTCTCTCTCTCTCACACACACACACACAGCTTCAATCATTGAATCAATAAATACTCGCATTTACAAATATTTTTCGACACATTAAGGACTTCACAACCATGCTATCCATTAGATGATGAGTAAATTTTATTAGCCATTTTGTAAATTTGGATAATTATCAATAATTCTTAGATGATGTTTGATAACTCAATTCAACATTTAACACAACGGATTAAATTAACGATTATCTAATTTTTTAGTGCAAAGTACAAAAAAGACCCTCCACTTGTAGCCATTTTCAATAAATCCCCTTGTCTATTATTTTACCAAAGAACCCCATTTGACTTGTAGCATATTTCCAATAAGTCCCCCATATCTAATTTTTTACCAAAGAACCCCGCTCAACTATCTGAGGGGAAAAAAAAAATTGATATTTGACCAAAATGCACTTTTATTTAAATCTTAATTTTTTTGAATTTCAAAATTTCATATCTCACAAACCGTACATTTAAGAATTATAAATAATATATGCATGGAAAGTTTATGAAATAAGAATTCTAGAAATATAAGATTTGTGCAACAAACCTTCATAACTAGAGAGAAATAGACAATCTAAAAATCTACTCCAACAATCTTATTTAATTTTTAAAAAATAAAATACTAAAGATATTTGCAAGAAAATTTTTAGAATTATTCATTTACATATGGAGCAGAATATATAAAAAATTTAACCCCAACATAGATCGATTGTATGAGATATCATATTTTCCATCTAAGTATTTTCATTCTTTTATAGCCTCACCATTTAAATAAAAAAAAATCAAAATGAATATTCGGTCTCTATTGGGGCTAATTTTTTTATATGTTATGCTCTATATGAAAATGAATAATTCAGAAATTTTTCTTGCAAATAACCCAAGTATTCTTTAAAAATAAAATAAAATAAAATTGTTGCAATAGATTTTTAGATTATTTATTTCTCTCTGGTTATGAAGTTTTGTTAAACAAATTTTATAGTTCTGGAATCCTTGTTTTATAAGCTTTCTGTGCATATATTATTTACAATATTTGGATGTATGGTTTGTGAGATATGAATTTTTGAAGTTTGAAAAAATTAAGATTTAAATAAAAGGGCATTTTGGTTCAAATATCAACTTTTTTACCCCTTCACATAGTTAAAGAGGATTCTTTGGTAAAAAATTAGACAAGTTGAATTTATTAGAAAAATACTACAAGTCTTGGTAAAGAATTAGATGGGGGTTTACTGAAAAATGTTACAAGTCGAAGAGGGTTTTATGTACTTTGTCCAATTTTTTATAATGCACAAAACAGTAAGCGCCATTTGAAAGAGGATATATTTTAAGAAACATAGATATTCAACGCTTTTCTAATTACAATTCGAGGGGGGTTTTATGTACAAGTCGAGCGGGTTTTAATTGTTTGATTACTCAATTCAGCGCTTAATTCTAAATGTATTCAGCACTTATCCAATTAAGTGCGTCAGATAATACACTTTGAATATCGATGAAAACGGTTAGCGTCACTTAAAATGCAGTAAAATTTTAAGTAACAGAGATATTACCTATCACTAAATGCTGAACGCTGAAAGTTAAAAAATATTTCAAAAAATATTTGGTTTTTAATTACCACTTAAGAACTTCAGCGCTTAAAATTCAACTCTTAAAACTTAAGCTCTTAAAATTCAGTCTATGTTTAACGCTGAAAATTCAAAAAGATATCAAAAAATCTTTATTTTTTGATTACCACTTAAAATCTTCAGCCCATAAAAATCAACTTTTAAAACTGTGACTACTTAATTTTCAATTTTATCAAACAGTACCATATTTTTCTCGTGATAAATAAGTCCTAAAAAGTTTCTTTTAGTACTAATAAGTCCTACTTTGAGACTTTTTTTTCATTTAAATTCTAATTACTAAATCTTTCATCTGTACCTTAAATTTTTGTTATTATAATTTTATTGAAGCTAGAGTTGATATATAATCTTATATATATATATATATATATATATATATATATATATTATACATATTATATGATGGCAGTGATCATAGATTTATGACTGAATACACCCAATTAGTAGATTACATTAATTATGTGGGCCCATCTTTATTTAGTTGCTTAATTGAATTTTTTAGCTTTTCTTCTTGTGAAAAGAAAATGTTTTGAGTCAGGTATAACATATTATTAATCTTTGTGGATGAGAACTCGGGCCTTGGTGTCTCACAAAGTATTAGATTCCTGGTTTAAATTTTTGAATAAATAATTATATGAGAGTACCACATGAATTAAGTTGCAGTCAGAATGAGTCCTAAAATTGTCCATTCTTGCCCGTGCATGGTGTGATACTATGCTTGGGCTGATTTCGGCTCAACACTAGTTACAGTGCTGAGTTTATTTAGCATTTTAGTCATTTGGCTAATGTTTCTGTCCTCTTAGGCTTCATTAGTATAGCTTGTGGAATTCCTCCTGAAGGTTCCAACTACATAGACAAGACAACAGGAATACGTTACACTTCAGAAGCAGGTTTTGTAGACACAGGTGAAAGCAAGGCTATATCCTCTGCTGTTAGGTATGACTACGCACTGGAACAACAATTGTTTAACGTAAGAAGCTTTCCTAATGGTAGCAGAAATTGTTACACTCTGAGACCTGAAGGAGGGAGAGGCAATAAATATTTGATAAGGGCGTTATTCTTTTACGGAAACTATGATGGTAAAGATCAACCACCAGAATTCGATCTATACATTGGAGTTGATTATTGGGTTACGGTGTTACTGGATGATATCTTCTCTACTTTGATTCGGGAGATCATACATGTTCCCACTGCAGATTATATAAATGTTTGTCTTGTAAAAACAGGCTATGGAACACCATTCATCTCATCATTTGAGTTGAGGCCTTTGAATAATTCTATGTATGAAACAGAAAAGAATGTATCACTAACTAGAATGGGGCGTCTAGATTTGGGTTCAATAAGGGGTGACTATGTCAGGTTGGTCTTTCCTATCTGAATTTAGAAATTAACTAGCTAGGAAGAATCAATTAAGTTTCTCCTGTTGGGATTTATATGCCCTGGCATAGCAAATTCCTATCTGGATTATAGTGACATATGTTCCTAACATATCTGAAATATTTATGATTTATATAATTGGTGAATTCAATGTATTGTGTTTCGATTCACTATGAAATTGATAGTGTCCCTGTGATTACGAGAAATATTTATATATATGTATGTGATGGCAATCAATGCATGATATATAAATAGTAATTATAAATTGTTCATAGTCAGTAATTATGGATAGACTCATAATTAATTAAGACTTGAACTGGATCCGCGTTAGGTTGAGATATATTGCGAGAACCATCGTATGCAATTGCTCCCTATCACCGTCATAGCATTTGACTCTTAAGCATGAGAAAATTATAGACTCTTTTATTAATTAATAATTACTTTGATTTGTTCGGCGGATTCTTCGGGGTCCTTAGACTGACACTTTGGGTAGTTATGTAATTAACAGTTAGAGGGTTATATTTTTAATATTTGCATCATTGCTACTTATATTTATTTTGTATTGATTATAGTTGATCACAAAGTAAATTCGAAGACCTTCGTATATTTTTAGACAAAATGATTTATTATATATTTATTTATTTAAATTATTATTTTGCCAAACAAATGTTTTTATTGTGATCAAGCCAGAAATAATCAATGGTGCCAAAATAAATATATTAATTAAGTAGTCGGATTGATGGCTTTATTTATCCGATAACTAATTATGCATAGAGGGGTCAAAGTGCAATATTGACTTAGTGGTTATTTATTATTTAATTGGAATTCAATTAATTTCTTTTAGTGGAGTAGAAATTAATTTATGAATTAATTGAATTGGGTCCATGGACCGGGCCAATTATTAATTCATTGTAGCCAATAAAATAATAAGCCCAATGGATTTTCACTCATAGCCCAACTTGATATTGGAATCATATTAGATTTGAGACATGTGAATTAGAGATTGAGAAGGATTTGTTGTTTCCTTTTCTTTACCTTTATGTTGCCTATAAATATACATGGTCTATGAATATTTGAGGGGTGATTTTTGGAAGAAGGAAAAAAAGGAATAAATTTTCTCTCTCTAGAAAATTAGTGTTTATGTTCTCATCTAATGGAGGCTCCCACAAGCCTAGCTTTCCAAGGTCATTCATGGAGGCTTGTGAGTGATTCCTAAAGGCAAAACAATTACCAAGAATATGGAGATCTGAGGAGAAGGCATCTTGCTAAGGGATCTACAATAAGTGAGAACATTCACTTTAGATAAAAGATTTAAAGGTTTACTCAGACCTTTGATGTAAGTATTCAATCCATTAATTGAATGATACATCATATTTTTATTTTTGCATAAAACTTGTCTCTATGTGATGAATCAAGATCTATGAATTTAAATCCCTCGAAAAGTTTTTAAATATTGCACGTTTCCCAACAGTGGTATCAGAGCATGGTTTGATTCATTACTAGAGATCATGTTTCTATGAAATCCATTATCATGGATCCAAATTATATATATATATTGATGTATGATTTAATATATTGATACATGATGATGTATGTATAATTGTGAATGGATGATGATGTGTGTTTGGGCCATGGATGAAGCTTATAGATTTATTGAATGTAATTTTATTTTTGGATGAATGTAATTAAGGCTCTGATTTAGCCGTTTGAAAGTTCAATGATGTAATTTAATTTTTTCCATTGTATTTCAAATTGTAAATATTTTTAAAGCCATGTAATTTTCATCAAAGGATGCTATGAAGCTTCAAGAGGGTCCAAAAGGGTTAAATTATGCTTCAGCAATTTTTTGGAATTTTTCTGAATTTTTTGGAATTTTTCTGAAATTTTTTGAGGCTTAATTTAAATTTCTGGGAATTTTTCTGATTTTTCTGTAATTTTTCGGCGTTTTTCGGGTGGCCGGAGCTTCGCCGGCGGCAAGAAGAGGCATCGGAAGAAGCTGGAATCACATGCTTCGCACCAAAGGGTGATCCTGGCACGTGAGGAACACGCGCCAGGAGGTAGCAGGCGCATGCACGCGCCAGCTAAAGCTGAATTTACTTCCACGCGTGTGAAAGCGCGTGGAAGCGCGTCCCACGCGTGAAGGCACGTGGAAACGGGTCCCATGCGCCTTAGGCACGTGCCAGCCCTTGGGGGCACGTGCATTCACCTGCTGCATGCCCCCGGCGCGTTCCGAACGCTGTTTTGCTTCTCTAGGCTCGTACCAGCTCCTTACAGGTGTTTACAAGTCTGTAATGGACCCTCACGCAATATTTAGAGTAATTAAATGTTAAAAGCTGAATCCATTGGCCATTTAATTTGCTTTATCTGTCATTTATTGTTGTATGTGATGCATGAAATAATTAATTGCTAATTATTATTGTTCATGCATTGGATCCATGATATTTATTTAAATGGCTTGATTTATATTAGTTAAATTATAAAAATTAATTGGATTTGATTACTAATTAATTAGAGGGCACTTATTGGGAAACGAAAAATTATTTTTGTAAATTATTTTTGAAGTGTGCCTCAAATTAAATATTAGTGAATCATTTAAGTCGAAATGTTTTCTAAATTTAATTGGATTAAAATCAAGACGTTTTGCATGCATCATATCATGTATTTGAATAAAATGAAAACCCTAATTATGAATAATTAAAAATTGAGTGGGAGCGGGGAATTTTATACATTGCCCCATGGCCTTCATTATTAATACCATTGTAATTAGATCTTCAAAAATAAGGCCCCACGCATGATTTAAAGAGTCCTAATATTACAAGAATGGTTGTCTCATGAAAATAAAAATATTAAATGTTCATTGTAATTAGATCTTTAAAAATAAGGCCCTATGCATGATTTAAAGAGTCTAGATTATAATGACAACATATTTAATGTTTTATTTTTCGTTAGAGTTTTAATAACGTTATACACTCAATCTAAAATCAATAGTGTTAGCTTCCCAACGAAGTGGTCTACACTAGGTGATTTTAGAAAGGCTAAATAAAATCGGGAATCATTTCATATGATAGACAAGGCATTGTCTTAAGAAATATGGAAATGATGGGATTTGCCCGCCAATAGCAATAATGAACTTCGCCAACCGAATAAATTATTGGCGTATTGGTTATCCGAGTTTTCATACAGTGGTTAAGGGACCCACATATTATTATTTTAATGGAAGTGCTCACCTAATAGCAAATGAATCTCTACAATAGTAATAATGAACTCCTCCAATAGGATAAGTTATTGACATATTGATTGGTTGATTTATTATGCTACAGAGTTGAGGGACCCGCATTAATTAAAAGGGATTGTTCACCAATAATGATAATGATCTCTTGTTCGATTGAGATTTATTATATTATGTGGTAAACAAACTCATTTTAATTTTAAATATACATGACAGTATTAATAATTTACCTTGCATATTGTATGAATGCATTTATATTAAGACTAATTATGTCTAATCCATTTTATCTACTTGCTAATTTCAATGTATGTGGATTTCATTTATAATGACTAGAAAAGGAATTTAGATATTTTATTCACAACGTGGTGGTACAAATGTATTTACTACTCCTAAAACCTAATCCTTTTACTTTAAGATACCCAAGAGAACATTAATGCTTTGAATAAGTGAAATAAGGCAAATGAGATGAATTGGTGCAATATTCTAGAGTTTACCTCAAATACGCTCCAAAGCTAACATTTACATTATTTTATTTTCTTCAAGCATCATGTTAAATGTCAATAAGATGTTTTGGTGAGATTAGATAGAGAGTGTGCCAAAGTACGATATCAGACTTGAATAGCATCAAGATAGCCTAAGGAACTCCAGTATGAAATCGAATTTTGGAAAATGATTGTTTATTATTTAAAAATTAGCTGAAGATCCATAGGGCTGACTTGAGTGGTAAGTTTCAAGTTGACATGATTATTGTCTTGTTACCAAATTCATTCGATTCTGTTAGAGTGAACTAAATAAGGAATCAGTTTGAGTTCACACTCGCTGATATTCTTATAGAATTGGTAACAAATGAAGGGATGATCAAGAGTATGGGCGTTCCTATCAATCTAACCTAGTCTATACCATATTCTACTAGGCCCAAGTGGACTGGCAAAGCAAAGAAGAAGGATGATAATAGGACTAGGCTAGCACAAAACATAGGTATCTAAAAGGTTAAAGGGAATAAGGCAGTGTATGTTGAGGGCGAATGAAACTGTTTCTTTTGCCGCTAACTAAAACACTATAGGACGAACTGTCTAAGCAATGACGTGATAAGCGCTGAATACTATATATTCAAGCGCCCTAAATTACATTAACAAAGTCCAGTTATTAATTATTTTATGTAGATTAACTCCATTTGCATGTTTTTATGCATTTTCAGGTTAAAGTGCAAAAAGGAAGCAAAAATGATGCCTTGTGGAATTTTGAACAAAAAGGATGCCATTTCTGAATTTCTGGCAGCAGTGATCCTGACTTTTGTCGCCATTTTCTACTTAGCAAACTCAAGAACTGGACTTCCATCATAACATGAAAGATTTATATCTCTGAATAAGCTTTCCAAATATTCAAGCGGTTCATCATTCGGAGTTCGGAGCAGAGAGTTATGATCTTCGTAACAGAGGTGCGCAAAACTGCCTGGCAGCACTGAAGTACTGCCTTTCTCCCCATTTTAGACCAACCAGACTTCAGAATTGGGTCTTCATCAAAACATGAAGTTTTTAAAGCACTGAATCAGCTCTCCAAATCTTCAAACAGATCATCATTCGGAGTTCGGGGCACAAAGTTATAGCAGTTTTACCAAAGTAGGTCAGCGTTGAGCAAGAAGAGCATGTTGCACATTGCACTAATTTAGAGTGCTCGAGACCACTTTTCGAGTGCTCGAAAATCAGGCAGATTGCACTCGGAAATGGCTCAATTTCAGCCACTTACACATTGGTTTCCTCAATGCCATCTTCCTTCTTTATGAAGTGGTTGGAGGTGTTCCTTGGAGGAGAGAGAGGGTTTTGTTGGAGAATAAAAAGCTACCAAAGGCCACACACTTCCTATCCTACATTTTTCTACAAGATTAGAGGAGAGAGAAGAGAGCAAAAGAGGTGTGTTCTTCAAGCTCCAAGAAGGTTGCACGAAAATGGCCATGAAGATGGAGCTTCT